TCTGATTCGACAAAAAAATTAATAGTGGAAAATTGAATTTACAATCCTACCCGCCAACATTTGAACTGATCAGTTAAACCATAATAAAGGAGAACTAATAGCCATTTGATAAGATAGAACATCACAAATCCGTTAAAAATTACCGGAGATATTAATTAGAAAAATAGAAGAATATGAGATTTTGGATTGGTACTCGACGAGTTAAACAGTTTTTTTTTAAAATTCTAACTTCTTTGAAATTTTCAAGATTGACACTTAAAGATTTACAAAAATCATAGAACTACAACTTTTTTCAAATTTTATTTCTTTTATACAAAATTTCATTAAGTTTGTGAACAGAACTTGACGTTGAAAGTCTAATTAATATTTTTCAGTGCAACATTTTCCACAAAAAAAAACAATTTAAAATTCGAAAATTTGCTGTTTTTTGGTTTCTGTCAATTACATTGCATTTTTCATAAGTTTAAATAAAAAAAATATTTTGTTATTCAAGATTAAAACAATATTATATTATTTATAATTCAAATGACTTGATTGTTTTACCATGTATACTATTCCCGAAAAGTAATAACTTTTCCTTTAAATTTGTCTCAGAAGACACTTCGATATGAAGTTACGTTTTCAAGTTTCAATTTATTGAAAAATAATGAATTTTTTGCATGATTAAGAAAAAGGCCAAATTATATCTAAAATGTGAATGGGCAGTTTCATGCTAATCGGAGAAGGTTGAGTCTGAAATTCATGTTTTGTTATTTGGCCTGGAAATGCTCTTATACAGAATTTAGAAGTCTTCATATAAAGAGAGAATATACAGTGCAACACAAAATAATCCAAATTATACACTGAAAAAATGGTTCACATACACACTCAAAAATAACTATTTTTACACGAGACGTAATCCATCTTTGACGTAAATTATGGAACGTAAACAAACATGTCATGTCGATTTCAGGGCACGGAAATTTACATGACTTTTTGGTAGTGTGTAGTTTCCATTAGGAACGCACGTAATATTTTACTAATAAAAAAAATTTATGATTTCTATCTGAAAATCACATACACTCCCGATCATAAGTATGGGGTTACCCTTTAAAAAACATATTGTTAATGATCTTGGACAATGCAATAATCATTCGAAATATTGCGGATGTTTTCGTTCAGTGTACGTATGATGCGTTATGATTTTTTTTTTGTGTTGACCGATTAGTTTTTGATGTGTTGTCATGTGTGTATGCGTCCTAACACGATTATAAGGGCCGAGGTGGAAGACTGACGGTAGTCACGGTGGGTCGTGTTTGTTTGTGTCGGTGGTTTTGATGCAAAAGTTTGACGCACAGTCACGGCGGTCAGGAGAAATAAGAAGGAGAAAACAAACGTTTTAAAACGCATTAAGCTAGGTTTAGACTAGAAAAGTCAAATGATCAACTCAGTTGAATTCAATTGGCTTGAAAAGTTGAGCCTGGTTCAACTTTTTTCAATTCCAGTGAGTTGATCAATTCGCGTTCAAGTCAGTTGAATTCAACTGACTTGATCAATTGACTTGCCCTGTCTAAGATTTAATGTTCAGTCGAGATGATCGAGATAGCTTAAACAATTTACAATATTTGTTACGTAATACCCTGGTAAAATTTTCGCGTCAGTCGTAATTTGATTTGTGATGTTAGTGGCACGGTAGCCAAAAATATGAGGGTTTATGTTTCCGTCTTACACAAAGATCAAATAGAAACAATGAATGTCGTATATAAGTAGAATTTGATGAAGGCATGTCATCGATCGCAGAGGCTTATTTTGCTGTAAGGGGTACCTCCGACGAGTTCGAATGGTTATAGAATCAAGAGTATCATAAATGGTGTGTTGTGATATGAGGGATTAGGCTACCTTAGAAATCCAGTTTTGCTTACTGAGCAGGTCTTATCATGCTGGAGACTTATAGTAACATCGCTTGATAATCGTGTGTTTTGCGAAACTGTGAAACCATCGGGGCCGGGTTTGTGGTTGCAACAACAACAACGCGATCGTAGATTGTATGATGTGATATGAAGGGCTCAGTGACCTTAAAGCAACCGTTTTTGCTTACTGAGCAGAACATCATGAATTCATAAGTTTAATCTCAAGCCCGCCACATTTAAGATTTGTTAATCGCTTAAATTTGTTAATATGAATACATTTGAATAATAACAAATCGATTGTGTGTTGTAATAAAAGGAGCTCGTTTGACTAGTGGCAAATGTTTTTGCTTACTGCGAAAAAGACCGTGGGTTCAATCAATATAAATTCAGCTATCGTTTTTCAAAACGAATTCTGCTGCAAACCCAACCCTATTAACCAACATCCCAGTGGAGTCCCCGGAAGTTAATTTCAAAGATATCCATAAGAGAAGTGATCAAAATAGCCTAGTTTTGCCTCGAGTTAAGGAAAATACCGTTCTTAGCAAAACATTCATTTTCCATCTCCGTCCAAACATTGAAAGCAAACGAATCGAAATTATGTCGCTGCGTCATTGTTGCACTTAATCAAAAACGACATCACTTGGTCACCAAATACCACCAGCACTGCCAACTGCCTTCGCCCGCCGGTCGCCATATCGGGCGGATGTCCTACTGTGCACCGAACACGACTTTTTGTCGATTACAACAAGTGATCGATAAAATGACCCAAGATAAGAAAATATGCAAATTTAAAAGTTTTGAAGTACAGATGAAGAAAAAAACAACAATTTCCACCACCACAACCACCTCCATCCGCTCCGTCCCTCCGTCCGACAACAACGGAGGACAGGAATGGTGATTTATTCTTTTTACTCTATACATTTTACATTCCTTCGGAAAGGGACACATACAGAACGAGTCACCATAGAATGGCAACGACAGAGAGAGGCCAAGTGCGCGGGTTGAAGTTTTTTTTTTTTTGTTCATTAATTTATTTGATAAGGCTCAACCGAATTAACTTTACAGAGCCGAGGATTCTTGGTCACTATACAATACATCTTAAAACTATAGTCAAAAGGTACAACATAATAAACACTTTATCTTCCGCTATCCAAAAAGCCTCCTCCATCAGAACTGGAGCCGCTTCCAGTAGTTTCATTGTATGGCAAATTGTTGTACGCCAACGAGGGTCAGAGCGCGTCCATTGCAGCAATGGACGCAAAACGTGGTCAGCACTCACACACTCATCACGAAACGGTTGCTTTCCAAAGTCGACGACGCATCGACCGAAAGAACTGCTGATGAAGAACAATGAGGAGGACCACACAATGGTTGCTGCCGAGAAAACAGACGATCGCGTGGCACACATCGAGAGTGGCCTGCTTTTGTCGACAGCCGAGTGAACACTGCGGGTTGAAGTTGAAGGATGGGGTTTATCTGCATAATTACACAGCAGGGAAACCTATGTAACAAACAACAGCAGCACCGCACCAGTAGGAGCCGCTTTATTCCATTTTTTCCCGCGAGTTGCATTCTGCAGTTCAAATCATACTTTTGTTTATCTTTGTCCATTTTGTAGCCACGGCGTCGTCGCCAACCAGGCACCCGTTTTGTTTAAAGCGCTTTAAAGAGGCAGGATTGCAATCATAAAATCCATTCTAATGCAAACATTGATATCGAGAGGGTGACAACTTTAACGAGCGATTGGAGTCATATTCACTGCAGTTATTCAATGTACCTAATAGTTTTTTTTTAATGTCACCAAGGGCACACGATTATACACCATCCAACCGGTGCTCACGCTTCGGTAACTTCAAGATTTATTTTTATGTCCACCGCACGATTCTCACAAAATCCGGTAGTTTGAAACGCCATTCGACTTATCACTTGTTTATGACTAATAATCTCTTTGAGCAGAGCAGAGCCAAAGCCGAAATCAAGTCCCCGATTCATCAATTATTGATATTGTTTTATACTAGGGTGGTTCAAAATATCGATTTTGCTCCACCAGGCTCAATTGATTCCTTAATCAGGTTCTGATAATTTGGTATCTGCTATTATGTGAAATTGTATCAGCTACAACTTTGCTCAGGACTTTTTAATTGGAATTCAAGACAATTAGTTATTAATTGATTTCGAAGCCAATAACTTTCTGGTATGATCAATCGACTGCTTTCAGGGCAACACTGCATCTTGAACATTTGACATAGTAGCCAGGATTGTTTGCTCTATTCTTCGCACCAAGCAAACCTATGTTGCCTGCTGAATAGTTTATGGAGCAAGTCATAAGAATATCATCTTCCCAATGAATTAATAACTAATTATCCTGACGTTCAATCCAAATGCGGTCTTTAGCAAAGTTGCAGCTGAGAAAATTTTACAATATTACCGAAAGCAAACTTTTCAGCAGATCATTACAGCGAAAGGCTATGACCATGAGAACAAAAAGTTCCATTGTCCTATAGCAATTCCCATATATATTTCAAAAAGCCAGAGCAGTATGAGTTCGCATCCAGATGAGCTCTAATGTTGGGAGAATTACCAGGACTTGATTTGACATCGATTAAGTTTGGTGGAGCAAAATTGATATTTTGAACGACTCTATTATATATCTACCTAAATACTAAAATGGTACACTGTTCAACGGGTGATGACAGAGCATAAAAAGGTCCGGTTTGACCGTTCCCACGGGTAGTTTCCAAAATCACTACCTTGACTCTGGTCTGGCCCGGAATCAATGGTAATGTTGAATGAAATAATAAGAATGTGTCAGCTCTTTTGCTTGTTGTTTTGTTTCGTTGGTGGTTCAATTCATTGTTGCTGGTTGCGCCTTCCCCGTTATTCCATCCAATAAATTCGTCAACTGTTGTCTTTGTTTGTCGTTGCTTGAGATGGCCGTCGGTTGTGAATCAAACGATAATTTGCCCGATGGTTATAATTGAGACAGAACAATATTCATTCCATCGTGAGACTTGAGTTATTGCACTGTCATGTTTGCCATATCAGGCCCATTGAATTGAGTTATGAAAAATTAATTAATCTCATGATGTTGCTTCTTCTTCTTTCTTACAGGAACCGGAAATACCAATACCGATGGATCCTACAAGCCTTCGTTTCTTACCGATCAGGAGCTGAAACACCTGATTCTGGAAGCTGCGGACGGATTTCTGTTTGTGGTAAGTTGAGCTTTACGACTAGTGATTAAAATTTCGATTCATATTCCGAATCGGGGACTTCTCCGCGGGGGTTGCGTTACTATTCAACAATGGTTTCTGATTATTCATAGGAAGTCTCCAATGTTTTGAGTTGTCTGAACTTTCGACACGTTTTCCGATTGGACCAATTTTTTATAGAGTTATTTAGGCTATGCTCCATTTGGTGAATTTTCACTTGAATTTGATAGATGAATTGTTTTCAAATAAACCTGCTATTCTAAAAATACAGCCAAGGAATCAATTTGGACAGACACCTTTTCGTAAATCGACCGATCAGAAATACAGGGATTTTCAAACATTTTAAATGATTTTCGAAGTGTCAAATTTAAGTGAAAATTCACCAAATGGAACACAGCCTTAATATAATCAATGAAAAATAGCATTGGAAAGACTAAATACACCAGACTCTTGTATCGTTAATAACAATAACCTAGGTAACCTAACCTAACCTAAAAACGGAAAGGTAGGCTAACCTGTATCACCGAATATGTACTTACTCAACCCAATACATACCGTCAATGTACCAGTCTTCGGTCATGCCTCATATACCGTACCGTGCATGAAAGGACGATTTTTCTGATCAATTACAATACGTATGTACATTTGTAAACATACTTACACGTTTAAAACCCCTTAACTTTCATTGGTTACCAAAGGGTGTCCCACATCAAATTGCATCACGGAAAAACGCTGTAGAAAATTACCCATTGAGTATTTTCTCTTGAAAATTTGGGTAGAAGTAATTTGGAGTGTATTGTTTACACTGTATTTTTATCGCTGTCAGTTTTTCGAAAGTTGGAAAAAATGGCGTCATACCTAAAAGCAACGTCGCGAATTGATTTTGCGCAAGCACCTGGAAAATCCTCAACTCTCTCATCGGGACAAACAACTCGAAATCGTGCAGTCAACGGTGAGTCGTGTGATTAAACGTTACTACGAAACTCTGAGCATCGAACGGAAGGAGAATTGCGGTCACAATGGAGCGTTTAAGCGGAATCCTAATGCTTCGGTCAGGGATTTGGCCACAAAGTTGAATATGTCCAAGTCTTTCGTTCACAGAGCCAAGGACCGGGAGGGACTGCATACGTACAAAGTGCAGAAGGCTCCAAATCGTGACGAACGGCAAAATACGGTGGGAAAGTCACGGGCCCGGAAACTGTACACCCAGATGCTGACGAAGCCTAATTGTCTCATCATGGATGATGAGACTTACGTCAAGGCGGACTTCCGGCAGCTTCCGGGGCTACTGTTCTTCACCGCCCAGCACATGTATTATGTTCCGGAGGAAGTAAGGAAGCAGAAACTTTCAAAGTTTGCCAAGAAATACATTATATGGCAAGCGATCTGCTCATGTGGCAAAAGGAGTGCACCATTCGTGACTACCGGGACTGTGAACGGGGAGATCTACCTCAAGGAGTGTCTACAGAAGCGTCTGCTTCCTCTGTTGAAGCAACCCGAGGGCCCTACGATCTTCTGGCTGGATCTAGCTTCGTGCCAGTATTCAAATGTTGTCCTGGAGTGGTACGAAGCCAACGGGGTCACTTTCGTACCCAAGGACATGAACCCCTCCAACGCACTGGAACTGAGGCCCATCGAAAAATACTAGGCTATTATGAAGCAAGCACTATGGAAGCATCCCAAGGAGGTCAAATCTGAGGAAGACATTAAGCAAAAGTGGGTTTCCGTACAGAAGAAGCTGCAGCCAGATGTTGTTCAGAACCTAATGAGTGAAGTTAAGCGTAAGGTGCGAGCGTACGGTTATGGTATTGAAGTTGAATAAAATAAATATGCCAAAAGCTTACTAATGGGTTATATTTTATTGTCTGAAAGTTTGAAAAGGATCGGCAACTGGGTAATTTTACCGTTTTTACCGTGATTCAATTTGATATGGGACACCCTTTATTACTGAAACATGTCTTATTGCTGCGTCCATGGTTTTGCACTTTTGAACACTCTAATAAATAAACAGTAGACCCAGGGAATCGCTGAGACAGAGCATTAACAAAAAAGTAGTGCGGCTCTTCATCTTTCTCATCGTCCATCAAATAATTTCAAACAGCATCCTTATGCTGGTCCAGAATCTAGATACTGGTTGCCAACGTTTGATTACTACCTTTTCTTTGTATCTCCTGGAAAAAATAACCATACAATTACCATAAAATAAAATACAATCACAACTAAATAAACTAATAGTAAATGCTTAATTTTTTTCGGGAAAAAGTGATTTTTTGTACGGTTAAGATACATAACAATCCCCTTGTTCTATTGTAGATGTCTCCATTTACCATAGATTCTATTTTGGAAACAATAAATTCTACGGTTATTTTATAGTTGTGGACAATACCATTTATTGTGAATACAATAAATTCTATGTATGGCTACAATATATTTAATTCTACCTCTATGGTTCTTTTTTTTACGGGCTGCTTGTTGTTGCTTTATAATTTTCATCTTTGCTTGGACTTGGTGGAATTGCATATTTATTTCCTGAAATTGCTGGCGTTTCCGATTGCATTTATTAATACCGCGATTCAGATTGGCTCCATTACCTCTGGTGTGGTTACCTTCACAATTCTGTTGCAGCATACATCTTAATGTTGTTCATACAAGATTCACTGACTCCACCAGCCTCCACAGTCAATCGAATCTCCGAGATCGTTCAGTCCATAGAGTGATTCAGCGGGAGAAACTGCTGCGGTTACAGTTCTTCAGAATGGCGGGGTCGTTCTGTACCGGGTTGTTGTTGACACCGTACGTACATCAATGCCGTACATTAGAACTGCATTTTGCAATTATCCTTACCCATACAATTTGCTTTCAGTCCGTATCCTATTGCCATCCGAAGGGGGTGACTCTATCTACGATGCAGGAAAGATTTTGTTTTGCTGTGGTTAACTACGCGCACGCTGAGTAGATAGAAAGAAGATTGATGACGGTTCTGAGGATTTTTTGCAAAAAGATGATGGGCAATGCTAGTAGATGTGAGAAATGAAAGAAGATTTTTCGTAGATTGATTCGCTAGTGTGAGATTTTTCGAGCATCTAAAAATGCGATTTAGATGTGACGCCCTCGTTGCCATCTGGGGTTAATACGTAAACAGGTGTATTCTGCGCGGCATGGTGACTCTGACTAGTTTGACACTGACTCTGACATCTCCTAAAAAGCGTAAGCACATGAGAGTCTCGTCGATTATGCAACCTTTTATTATTGGGAAAAATCAACAAAAAGAATGAAACTGAAAAAAAACTTCCCCTTTACTTTGAAGTAAACAAAGTAGTAAACTTTAGCAAAGCTTTGCAAAATGTCAACTCAAAGCAGTGATTCCGTTTTTATATTATAGTCTGTGTCATACTTATCATCGTGATGTGATGTGATGTGATTAGAAGCCACCACCAGTGCAGGACTTGCCATAACGTACGGTTCCTCTTAATGGCAAGATCAGACTATGCAACCCTGCAATCTTTACTGTTCCGTTGTGTGAAGGGCCAAAACCGGAGGTGTGGACCTGTAAGCTGGATAGAGAATCTCCTTCCAACGGAACGCTCTTATTACAGGACATACATAGAATGCAATACACATTAAGATTTCCGTCTGGTGGTTTGTTCGAAATAGGGTGCATCAGACTCACTGTAGACTGTTAGAAGATAACTATACCCTCGATAATATCGATCCAAGGATTTCCATCAAAGAAGGCATAACTATTTCCCATGATTTGGGCCTGGCAACCACGACTCCCTCCTCCAGCCTACAATTTGTCTGATACCCTTTATCCCCCCTTCCCCATTGTAATTGAATATAGTGTCATTAAAGATTATAATGTGAAATTGATATTATATGTTAATACTATAAATCATATAAAAGTTTATGTTATTCACTGCATTTTTTTAACATAAACTTTTGACCAATATCTGTGTGATAAATGAATTACTCACCCCACTCCTTTAAACCTCTGCTTGGGCCGTTTTGACCGAATTATACACCTCTCGTCACTATTGTTCTTTTGAAAATAACATCACCAGGGATGAGCACTATACAACAACTATACACAAACTATACAACTGTGATCATGGATGTGCTTATAATTTATTATATAAATAATGCTCATGGTCATAATTTGTCATCCAAGTGTGTCCGCGGCATTATTGTGATAAGACGTTTATATGTGGATTCTAAAAAAACACGTGTGTCATACTTATCATCGTGTGCTCTAACGTGCCGATCAGTGTGCTACGATGTATTTCGGCACAGTGTGCAGAGTGTGCCCATTGAGTTAAATCTATGTTGTTTTCGAGTTTTCTTTGATTAAAATCAGCACAAGAGGTAGATTTGAATGAAGTATGCATGCCTCAAACAAAGTTTCTTGAGAACTACAGTGTTTTTACTTGTTTCTGAATCAAAATGTATTGAGCGGATTTTGATACACTGCAAATTTGATGAGTACCAATTATCGCTCATTACAACATACTTTCACTTTTGTCTTGTTTAGGATTAATTCAACTATAAATGGCTGTCTACAGTCCATGTGCAAAGCTTTTGAGAGAGTTTGAGACCAAACAAAACCAACCCCCTTCTGCCCCATGCGTTAGGCCGTCCCATATTTTCAGAAATTCGACCAATTTGTAAATTCAACCTTCGTCAAATGTTCGTTTTGCTTTGAAAATAAACTTTTATAAATTTCCACTTCTAAATAGAGCTGGAATCAGGGCGGATCAACATTTGTAAACAATGATTTCTCTCGATGTTTTCAATTCCACGCAAACCAACATAACCATCGGGTAGGGGAAGTCTTCCCCTACCCGATGGGGATGTTGATTTGCGTAGACGAGCTTTGAGACGTGAGCTAGTATCTCTACATGGTTTATACCATGGCCTCATACCAAGATAGCGTGCTCACCATGGCATGGGGGTTACTTACACTACCATCCCTTTAGGGCCGATGAACGTTAACGTACGAACTTCAAATTTATATAGGGGAAATGTCTCTAATGTTGGCCTATGGATCTAAGACTGGGCCCATCGCTAAAAATCTGCTATTTATCATTTTTATCTAGATGAACGCGTTATTGGGACGTTACTGATGGATATTTTTGGTTGCTATTGAAAATTTAGTCGATTGCTGAATTTATTTATGGGATGGGCCCAAATTAGGGACACTTAGGCCGACATTACCTGAATTTCCCCTACGTATGTTTATTTTCAAGCCAAAACCAACATTTCAAGAAGCTGAATTTACAAATTGGTCGAATTTCTGAAAATAAGGGGCGGCTTACCCTGCGTGCATAATCATGCACACATTTTTTATTAGAATTTGTATGGATCATGAATTGTTTGTCCTCACATGGACTAGGAGGTTTCCATTTTCAGCAAAGTTGTTCAGATGGACAAGGCCCATTTTGTGGTGAAAAGTTCAGATTTTACTCACCAGCTAGCGCTCGTGTAACATTAGTTTTAAATTGTTTGCCCTATCTTGAAATCTTGACTAGATAGAAGGCTCCCGTCTTGGGCAAAATTGTTCAGATAAACTAAACATGTTCTATGGTAAACTGTCGCACTGTTGCTTCAAGTTGTTTCGAAATTTTTGGTTTCACTTGCCAGCTTGCCTAGATAGAAGGTTTTTGTTTTCGGCAATTTTTTTAAGAAGGTTTAAAACAATTATATGATAATCAGCATAGTTTAAAATTCACTCCCTAGAGATCGATGGACCTTAACCACCAACCTCATCAAAACGTGAGCGGTAATTGGTACATGTGACTGAATTTACTTTCATTAGCTTGTAATTTTTTTTTTTGCTGTTGAAATGTGTTACTCTAACGAATGATGACACAAATAAAATGTTGGGATTTTTCTGCGATTTTTTAACTTTAACATCGCCTTAAATGAGCGGAAATTGGTACTCTGATGGTACTGAATTTCCCAACTTGCCTCCGTTCTGTGGGAGGAATTTTTAAAGCCATTTTAAATATAATTCAGCTTCAGTTCTACGTTACGCTATTGTTAAAAATGCTAATTCGTTCAGGGAACTGAAGCTTTCTGTTTCCCGCCCCAACAATGCGACATCTCAATTCCGTCGAATTCGTCGATCCGTATGATTGACAGAACAATACCGTCCCATTTGACCACTATACGGGTGACTCCACCAGATGTGATGATCCCAATGACGATCAACGTCTTGATTCACGCAGCTGTTAATGCGACAACGTAGTCAGCTGGCCTCGAGTCTCGGAATCTCCTAGATATCAAGACTTAAAAAGATCAAGAAAAATAGCCTCACACCCTCGCCAAACCAGACAACTCTTCTCTCCGGAGCGGCTAGAATAAATACAAAATAAATTATTACATTATGTTAATTAGAATTGTACCCAAGTATTTTGCTCCTCTCGTTACCCGACTTGTTCGTACAGAGCTTTCTTAGGAAGAGACTACTATACCTACTTTAATGCTGGCGGCGCGAACCGCATACTAATTAAACCGCGCCTCATCATCCCCCGGCACGGCAGACAAAAAAAAACGGGAACTGAAACAGAACGGCTCCTGGGGATGTCATTTGCCGGTTGCCGTTGCTGGAAACTTTTTCCGGCTTTTACAGCCGTGAAGGAATTTCGTTGGTCTAAAAATTTCATTATTTAAAAAAAAAATGCAGTTAGCGCCATTCGTCGTCTCCTCTGCTCGATGCTCGATAGGTCGTAAATTAATATCAAGTAGTTAAATTAATTTTTTGGCGAAAACCATCGTCGTGTCGTCGATTAATGCACCGACCCAACCGGAATGATGAACGATTTTTTTTTTTCGGCGGTCCAATGAAATTAATTCTGCTCATTCCTCGAGCGTCCCAAAAAAATATGAATTGTTTGCAACGAACTGCATTTGCAAACAATTCCGTTAGGCGGAAACGCGTGGTTCACCACACGAACGGACGATGAATCGATTTTTAATGCAACTTAATGATTCATAATTTTATGAGCGTGGTCAATCAAACTAATGGCTCTCCGGTATTGTATTTTTCCCCCCTTACCCTCGACAGGCTGGCTGTGATACGGGCCGTATTATCTACGTGTCCGATTCGGTAACACCGGTGCTGAACTACACCCAAAACGAGTGGTACAGCGGAAGCTTCTTCGATCATATCCACCCGGAGGACATCGAGAAGGTGAGGGAGCAGCTCTCGACGCAGGAGCCGACCAACAGCGGTCGGATATTGGATCTCAAGACGGGCACGGTCAAGAAGGAAGGTCACCAATGTAAGTGTTACTACTCTAGAAGAGGTATCTAAGATCGTAGCATCACTAAAGACTTTCCCCTTCGTTTTCGATTCCTCAAGCAGCATCAATGAGATTATGCATGGGCTCGAGGCGAGGCTTCATCTGTCGGATGCGAATCGGTCCCCTGACGCCGGAATCGATGGCCCTGGGTCATCTCAATCGGTTACGACGGAAAAACTCCCTTGGTCCATCACCCGACGGTCACAGCTACGCGGTAATGCACTGTACCGGCTACATCAAAAACTGGCCTCCGACTGGTAAGTATGCTTCCATCGTTTTAAAATTTGTTTGGTTCGTTCAAAATTTCGCACGATTTGTCATACACACCAAACCGGAATCTGTGTCTATGATCCGCCAATTTAGATATGTTTCCAGGTGTGACGATCGATCGAGGCCAGGACGACGACCTGCACAACACTCACTGCTGTCTGGTGGCGATAGCACGGCTTCAGATTACCTCCTCAACGACGGCCAACGACCTGAATTCGAACAACCCGAACGAGTTCATCTCGCGGCACGCCATGTGCGGGAAGTTCACCTTCGTGGACCAACGGGTGATCGGGGTGCTCGGCTATCAGCCGGTCGATTTGCTAAACAAGAGCTGCTATGACTTTTTCCACCCGGACGACATAGCGCACATGAAGGAGAACTTTGAGCAGGGTGAGTAAGCGGGAAGCTAACTCTAGTTCCAGAGATTCCTGACTGACGAATGATTATTTCAATTGCAGTGCTGAAGCAGAAGGGACAGATGTTCTCGGTGATGTACAGGTTCCGGGCGAAAAACAAGGAATGGGTGTGGATGCGAACGCAAGCGTATGCCTTCCTGAATCCGTACACGGACGACATCGAGTACGTGGTGTGCACCAATAGTTCTGCAAAGTGAGTAGTTCAATCCGTTTCCGGTATATATTATCAGAAAATAGAACTAATTCAACGTCCCCGATACACTGAAACAAAGTCATAGTTAGGAATACTATTTTGCAGAAAACACTTATTCTCAATATAACCACGCTTATTACCGCTAAATCTACTATGAATTCAGTATAGTTGACTATGAATGTTAACAGTTTACTATGATTCTGGAAAAACTACTATGCTTGCTCAAAATGCAAAGTAATTTTGATAGAAATGATAATAAAATTAAATGATTTTTTTAGGGGCGCCCCTAAGTTCCTTATTATAAATCAGTATGAATCATGAACCATTAGCAGTGATGGAAAAGTTCATCAAAGTTCCCTATGACTCGCGAACTTTTCCCTTGGTGAACTTCGTGAAATATCGCGAACTTTTCCAACACTGACCATTAGAGATATAAAATTGCTTCCTCGTGAAAAATAATTTCAAATATCTTGTTCTACTACTTCGACGAACATTACCCTGATCTATCTCGAATAGCTAAAAAGTTGATATTTAAATAACTTCCCGTGACTATAACAAATGCAAATTTGGTTTAAATCTTGAAAAAAGCCCGTTTGGCTTTAGGAAATTACAGACCAAATATGTCATATTTAAGGTGTACTGGGGAGTTCTGAACAGGATTTCAAATCATATACACATACTAACGGATACCTTTTCCTTTCCAGATCCCTCCACTCGACCCACGAAACGGTGGGGGTAGCCGATCCAGCCGACACGCCCGTATCCTACCAGGCCCCCGGGCTGGACTACTCGATGCCAAGCAGACGCGAAACGACGCCCTCTAGTAGTATATATAATCCTCACAATTTGATTTCACACTTGCCATCACAACAACCGCCATCAGCGACAGCCGCGGCCGCCGTGGTAGCCAACGCCTCGATCCAACGGCCCGACAGTGCGCACAACCCGGTGCAATATAGCTATAATCCAACGCCTTCTCCTATCCAGTCAGTATCGGTTCCATTTTCGACGTAAGTTACGGACCAATTTTTAAGATTTTAACACTATGCATTTGTCTTCTCTTACCACACAGATACGGTTCTCCTGGGACGCCCGGGGCTTCCGGTTCGCTGGGACACATCTCCAAAACAAACAACACCTCGCCAACGCCTGCAGCGACCGCGTGGTCGCTACGACAGGTAGGACGGAGCACACCATTTTCTCAACGAATGTAAATTTAATTTGTCCCTTTCTCACCCACAGCCCCAACCCGTTACCGAAGGTTACCAGTACAGTGAGCTCAGCCCCAACCGGTCACCGACAGGGCCCACGTACACGCAGCTCAGTGCGACTGGTTCCCGGCAAACGTCGACGTACACGCCATCCTCCGCGCAGCCTGGTCCCGGTAAATCCTCTTAACACTACATACCTATTACTTATGTTTCTATTTCCATATTTGATTTGAATTCGAATTACTCAAAAGCATCACACTCGCAAGTTTTGGTGTGCTCCAGAAGTTGTGATCCGGGCGGATGCAGTAACTACTGTCATCCGATGGTTTCCACTGCGAAACAAGCAATGACAACAGTAATTTCGGAAAGTGGCCCCAGGTGTACCGCGACGGCACCTGTTTTTACCCCTCCCGCCTTTTTAGACCGAATTATTCAAGAAACCGAAGCTTGGGAGTGTGATGTCTTTACGCCCATGCTGCTGGCGATTGTGTTCGTTGTCATTGTCAGCATGTCCTTTTTGTATCGATTGTGAGAATAAATTTGCAGTCTTATGTCTAATATGTATGAAATTGAGAAACGAAAATTTAACGGGTGCAGTTTTGGAAGAAGAAAAATCGTTAATTGAGCTTTTGAATCAGTAGCATGCGGGAACGGGAACGACGATGGACAGAATGGTAATCTGTAGTGTATCAATATCACAAACAAATTGAACATGTCTAATTCATTGTAGATGCATCGTGACCGGCTTGAAGTCTACCTTCAATTTAATAAGAGAATGTTTCGATGGTAATTTGCTCGAGATTCCTGATGTGGTAAGTAATGCGAGTAATATGGAAAGAAAAGATAATGCTCTTGCTGAATTTAACGACTGTCCGCAATTTTCCATCACGGTCAATTGAGGAAGGTCAGCAATTACATAGTCATACAATGTATAATTTCAACTAGGGTAATTTGCCAATTGTTGCACACTTCACATTGTTTACTGTGCAGCATATATCTATAACCACACAGTTTATCAATCATGGCGACATGCTAATCTGTGATCAATTGTTGAATGAGTAAACAGGTGTGTTTGATATTCATTATATTAAAGTATAAGAACCAAATCTGAATACGTTATAGTTATTAAGCCTAAGCGGCAAACAATTCCTATAAGGGCAACAAAAGAATAAGCAATTAAAACCTTTAAATCTATTTGTTATAAACAAATTAATCAAGCTAAAACTCCCCCAATTGATCTAATTCTAATTCAAATAAAATTAACTGTTGCACCTAAAACTTGTAAAATAGAAAAGACAAGAAGTAACATTTCAGCATATGATTTCAGACGATTTCTTAATTTATCAGCTGATAATCCTCAGTTGTAAAGTAAGCTATTATGTACTAGCTCAAAATGCAATTAAATTATTTAATCTTTGCAGAAAAATGTTGGTAATTATTTTATCTATCGATTATTTGCAATATATCTATCAACCATGCAAAATTTACAGAAAAAAGTAATAATGTTCAATAATTGATTCACATGTGGACTCTTGGTCTTGGATTGCATACCCAACTAACAATTTTAGCTGCAGATTAGCTTATACAGCCAAAAATTGGCTTATACAGTTAATTTTCGCCTGTATAAGCTAGTGTGCAACTAAAATTGTTTGTTGGGTATTGCCTATACGGATAACGCCTAAAGGTATGCAACGTTTCATATAAAACAGCTGCTGCGTATATTTTACTTCTACCGTGCGGGACCGAAATCCGTACAGCACCGAAATCCGTACACCCTGTTGAATTTGTTTATTTATATGCATCACAACAATGTAAATATTATACATGAATACATATTCATGTTCATTCATGCATTAGCTTGATGTTTACGTCAACAATTAAGCAGTATGTCATACAATTAAAATAAGAAAAATAAAAACCTTATCACGTGTCGGGCATTTCTATCAATCGGTTGCGTTCTTAACGATTTTCTAAGAAAATCTCTCGGATTTACTTCCAGTTGTTAAGCGTATTTAAGTGATTTTTGCAAGTAGTTTCCTGAAGGTCGATCGGAAAGGTAAGTGTTTATCGTTTTATATCTCAATTCTAAGCAATGGATCATTCATATGGTATTTATTTATCAAAATTAGTACTGTACGGATTTCGATCCATATATAACAGCTGATTCTAAATCCGTACACTTGTGCATTCACAATGACGACTCCACTTTATCCAATGTTTTTCAGCAGATCATGGAAGCTAAATACACGCCGGAGGATTTGGAGAAGACTGTGGCAATGATGCGTGCGGGGAAATCTTACCGAGAAGCATCCAGGGATTTTGCCGTTCAATTTACCACCATAAGAGATGCCGTATTGAATCGCTACTCTCTTATTTTATTCGTATTGTAAATGTTAAATTATTAATATCTTTTAATGAAGAAAGTCAAGAACCAGCCGAATAGGAGAACAGCGCAGCTCCTCTACACCAACACGCATATACAAATTACAGAGAGCAGACAGAAATGGGCAAGAGAGCATTCCCAACAGTAGCCACCAGCGAGGAATGGTCGGAAATATACATGAAAGTGAACGGGAGAAAATTGATAAAGAGAACGCAAAGAAACAAAGGATTGAGGAACGACAAAAGAAAAAGGTTGAGCAAGAGAGGAAGAGGAGGAAGAAGATGAAGAAGAGGAAAGAAAGCTGGAAGCAAGAAAGCATTATAACTTGAAAAGGCAATGGCAACAATGGAGAAGAAGCAGAAGAAAGCTGCGGAAAAGAAGCAATGAAAGATCTGCATTTTTATAATTATTACTCTCTTGACGTTTTAAATTAAATTAAGTTTTAGTCGTTAACTTACGTTTATTTTATTTTTCATGCACAAAACGAAAAGCTGATCTTTGATGCCAGTTCATTGTCTTTTTATGTTGGTTTCTAAGATGGTTGTAATTTTTTTTCACTTATCCGCTGGCTGTTTCGGATGTGCCTTCAAACCTTGTTGACATAAACACTTTTGAAATAACGCCCGTTATGGTAACTAATGCCGCCAAGAAAATGAAATGTACCTTCTCGCCTGGACCAGATGGCATTCCTTCTGCAGTGTATTGTCGTACCATTGGAGCGCTTGTTGAACCGCTTTGCAGAATCTTCAACAAATCTTTTGTAGAGTCGAAATTTCCTGCAATCTGGAAAGAGTCATTTATGGTTCCGGTACACAAGAAAGGAGATAAACGTGACGTTAAAAACTACAGAGGAATTACTAATCTCTCTGCAGCATCAAAACTGTTTGAGATAATTGTGAGTGGTTTCATTCTTGAGCACACCAAATGCTATATCTCTAGTGACCAACATGGCTTCATGCGTGGACGATCGGTTATCACAAATCTTCTAGATTTTACCACGACATGTTTTGAGCAACTGGAAAATGGGGCACAAATAGACGTCATCTACACTGATCTAAAAACAGCGTTTGATACGATCAACCATGACATTATGTTGGCAAAGCTATCCAAACTCGGTGCGTCGGACCGTTTGACTTCGTGGTTGTGCTCCTACTTGACTGACAGGTCTCTGCGAGTGAAACTCGATTCCAGTACTTCCTCGTATTTCACGAACTCGTCAGGTGTACCACAGGGTAGCAATCTTGGCCCGTTGCTGTTTGTGTTGTACATCAACGACGCACTTCTTCTACTTGGAGATGGCTGTAAGCTTGCGTATGCCGATGACCTAAAGCTGTACTTCGTGGTGCGGACTGCTGAGGATTGCATTCGTCTTCAATCGGTATTGGATCTGTTCGTTGATTGGTGTCGTCGGAATAAGCTTACCCTCAGCATTCCTAAATGTATGGTAATGTCGTATTACCGCATCAGGCAGCCGATTGTTTTTGACTATGCCATCAACGGTGTGGTTCTTCAAAGAACCGACCAGTTCAGCGATCTTGGTGTTCTACTGGACCATAAGTTGACGTTCAACCTCCACCGCTCTGCTCTGATCACAAAGGCGAATCGCCAGCTAGGTTTTGTGTCGAAAATATCGAAGGACTTCATTGACCCACACTGCCTGAAAGCTCTCTATTGCTCACTTGTGCGACCAATCCTGGAAAATGCCTCCTTGGTCTGGTTTCCTCATCAGTTGACTTGGAGCTTGAGGATCGAAAGTGTTCAGCGCAAGTTTATCAGGATAGCATTACGTAATCTACCATGGCGTGATCCGCAAAATCTCCCGCCGTATTCTGATCGCTGCAATCTGCTGAGCTTGGATACTCTAGAATGCCGACGGAAAAATCAGCAAGCAGTTTTTGTTGCCAAGCTATTGAATGGTGAGGTCGACTGCTCGAGGCTTCTCTCGCTGTTGGATATCCGAGTACCACCGAGAACATTACGAAGTGGTACCCTTCTCCAACCGCGGTACCATCGAACGGCGTTCGGTTACAACAAACCACTAACAACTATGATGCGTACGTTTACGGCTGTCGAAGAATTATTCGAATTTGGGGAATCTTCATCTCGCTTTTTGGCACGGATTAGAAACACTTGAATTGTTTTAGCTTTAAGGTTGTTTCATGTAGACAATAGTCCGATGAATAAAATTAAATAATAATAATAATAAATAAATTATAGGGTTACCATCTTAGGAACCGCTCATTCTATCGCTTGATGCTAGTGGGTTGGTGGAGCGTTTCCATTATCGGTGTATTAAAGATGTTTCGGCAGTCTTCTATTCAGTTTGCTATTATTGATTCGACAACATTGTCCAAGCTACACCGCCCAGTTTAGTCCCAGTTAATAATGTTTTGTAGCGTTGAGCTGGAGTGCCCCCAAGTTCCAAAGTATGGCGCATCTTGCACGTTATCACATGTCAAATTTCAAAGACCTCGAAGTTGTGATCGGAGGTAAACTCCAGTAATAATATTTAACCCAAAGCACTGGTATAGAATAAAATTTGGAGGAAATGAATCCTTAAGCATGATATTAGTTAGCATAAAAATCCAGAGCAGTCACCTTCTTAAATAAAAAGAAATCAGTTACCTTTCCTTTGAATCGATTGGAGCATCAATTAATCTAACGCTGATATTACTAGTTAAAAAATAAAAGTAAAAAAATGAACTTGAACCTTGACGAATGATTCTTATGTAAAATCGTACGCTGAATCCAACAATATAAATATCAATTATTTTAACGCTAAATTAGAGG